CAGCGGGGGTGGGCTGAGGGTCCACGGGAGCCTGACTTCGCATCACACACCAGGGGACATCGGAGCCAGCGGGGCTGAGCCGTGACGTTCTGATCATCGCCAAAGCTGCACTTCTCCCGGCTCTGCTTCCTTTATAAAAGGCACCAGCTTCACACAAAGCCCCCTTTACTTAAATATGCAAAGACGTGATTTTCTACATAAAAAACATGTCGTTGTCTATTCAGGAGCTTCCTGTTGCTTCAGGCGCATTTTATTAGAGACAGGAAGCCCGAGGGCCGGGAAGGGAAGGGAGGCTCCTGCAGGGTCTGGTTGGAAGGGACTGGTCTCCCTCCCAGCAGCTGGGGGGGCGGGGGTGTTGGGGGGGGGCCTCACCCTGTTGAACTGGGACCAGGACACGGACATGCTGCTGTAGTCCTCCAGGTGGCTGCTGCTGCTGCTGAACAGCTTCTGCGCCAGGAACACGAGGTTCTCCTTGGTCAGGCCCCGGTTGCTCTGCACTTCGGCCTTGAATTTCATGTTGAGCGCTTCACACAGCTGCGGCCACAGCACTTTGTCAGGCACGGCAAAGGGCACCCTGCCCTGAGCGGGAGAGAAGCCAGAGCCTTCTGAGAGAACAGTTGCATGATTTATTTCCTCAACCCACAAGAGAAAGACACTGGTGGCGGGATGGCGTTACAAACGTCTGTCTGACTGAGTCTGAGGATAAATTCAAACTTCCATGGGGTGTGCAGTTCTGGAAACTCGGAAGGTTCATCTTACCTTCTTTGCACACAGTACAGAGGGCAGCCTCGTGCTACGGACAGTGTCCTGCAAATGGTCCAACCCTACATCCTCACCGCCACCAACACAAAACATGACTGAGGTCTGGCTGTAAACTCAATGGGAACAGAAATCTAAAATCCGATTCTCTAGGTACAGAGAGACAGAGAGAGACGTGTGTGTGTGTGTGTGTGTGTGTGTGTACGCTCATGCATGTGTGTGCATAAGTGTAATCCTTGTCTTTGACAACTTCTGCCAAGAAAGAACTCTGGCTCAAAGTGAAACAACTTAAGGAAGAATAGTAACTATGAGTTAGCTTTATTAAAAACAGGTGAGAATATGCATTTGTAATAAACTGTTTTTCATTCCATTCAGCCATAGTACGTCATTTTAATTACCATAAAAATATTTTTGAGTAGGCAATTCCTTCACGTGATATGAAATTTTTAAAGTACAGCAAGTTATACAGTGAAGTCTCTTTCTCATTCCTGTCCCCTAGCAACCCAGTTCCTCTTCCCGAAGGCATGTGATGTAGTTTCTTGTTTACACCTCCAAAGCTATTCTATGCTGGCCTGCAAATACACACAATTTTTCCTTCAAAAAATACAAATGCAAGCATAAAATCCACATGTCCTGCATCTCCCTTTTTTCACTTAATACTAAACCTGGGAGACCTCACATCAGCATGTAAAGAAATTCCTTATTTTCGTTTGTGGCTGCTACATATTCTACAACTAGAGGCCCAGTACACAAAATCTGTGCACGGGTCTGGTCCCTAGTGGCTGCCGGCCACCACCGGCCGTGGCCTCCCTTCGTTCCACGCTGCCCCCTGGTGGAAAGTGCGTGTCATAGCGAGCGATAGAACTCCTGAGGGGACGCTTTGTATATTAGGCTTTTATATATATACTAGAG